TCTTCTGGCCGCTGGGCAGGACATTGGCTGGGAGACAACACGGCCGCGTGGGATCAGCTGAAGAAATCTATCATTGGTGCGTGGCTCCTTCCCAGGACCTGTGCCGGTAGGGCAAGGAGTTGGGATCCTTGGGGAAGAGGTGAGGAGGCGGGTGGTGAGAGCCTGGTGTGACACTGCTGTGCTTCTCATTGCAGGCATGATGGAGTTCAGCCTCTTCGGCATATCCTATGTGAGTGTCCTTGGGATCCTCCTAAGCACCAAGAAGGTGGGGACATCTTTCAGAAATCATCAGCAGGCTTGTTTTATTTCCTCTTGTTTCAGACAGGAGCAGATATCTGTGGATTCTTTCAAGATGCTGAATATGAGATGTGTGTTCGCTGGATGCAGCTGGGGGCCTTTTACCCCTTCTCAAGAAACCATAACACCATTGGGACCAGGGTAGGACAGTGGCTTCTGCCTCCAGTGTCGTGTGTCACTAGAAATACAATCTCCATTTCTGAGCTAAAATTAACGCAGTTTGTATTTCTTGGGATATCTTTTAAAAAATTGTGTTTTTTTTTTTTGTTTTTGTTTTTGTTTTTGTTTTTTTTGGAGGAGGGGGACAGGTACTTACTCTTTGTCCAGACTGAATCGTGCCGTGTCCCAGTCATGGCTGACTGCAGCCTCGACCTCTGGTTCTAAAGCGATTGTCCCACATCAGCCATTTGAGTAGCTGGGACTACAGGCACATACCAACGTGCCCACCTAATTTTTGCATTTTTTGTAAGATGTGGTATTGCCATATTTCCCAAGCTGGTCTCTGACTCCTGGGCTCAAGTGATCCACTCGACTCAGCCTCCGAAAGTGTCGGGAATATAGGCATGACCCAGTGTACCCTTACAAATTGTTACAACCTGGTGTCTCAATGAACCATATCCCTCAGTGTTCTTCAGATTTTTTTTTTCCTGTATTTTAGGCAAAATTGTACCAAAAAGAATGTCTTACAATGAGATTTTATCAGCTATCCTAGGAGAGCTTCCATGACTCTTTCCAGTCTGTTAAGAGTATTCCCTGAGCCTCATGTATAGTTTTCTTTTGTTTAGCTGTGAGTGATGTTCAGTTGGAATATGCTTTCAGTGACCTTCTTCAATCCCCTAGAACTTCCAGGGCGAGCTCCCAACACTGTTCTCTTTCTCCTTTAGAGACAAGACCCTGTGTCCTGGGATGCTGCTTTTGTGAATATTTCCAGAAATGTCCTGCAGACCAGATACACCCT